ATCCCAATTGCCCCTTGCGATGACGATGGTGGGCTTCCTTCTCCATCCCTGCAGTTTGTATGGTACAGGGACACCCCACAATGCCGTTAGGGAGAGAATTTAAGGATTCTGACCCAGCGACACTGAAGGTACGCAGATATATTTCCAAGTCAGGATGGTGGATGGCTTGGGGGGAACTTGCAAGGGGTGGTTTTCCTGTGTAACTCTGCCTTTGTCCTTCTAAGGGGTAGATGTTTTGGGTTTTCAGATGGTGCTATCTAAGGAACCTTGGCGAGTTGATCCTGTGTGGCTTTAAGAGGTTAATTTGTGCTGATTTTTTTCTTTTGAAGAGACATTGTAAGGTAGAAGTGATGAGCTGTCAAGTTGGAGATCCAGTAAACAGCTTGTGGGGCCTTGGGGTATTTTTTTTAGAAGTTGGAACAATAGAAGCAGCCTGGCTGGGTGTTGCCAGATCTCACAGAATCAGGATTTTTAGTTAAAAACCGAAAGAACTGCGGATGCTGTAATTCAGGAACAAAAACAAAGTTGCTGGAAAAGCTCAGCAGCTCATCTGTGATGCTGCCAGACCTGCTGAGCTTTTCTAGCAACTTTGTTTTTGTTCAGGATTTTTAGTTTTCAGGTTTAGCTCTAAGCAGTTGCTGTTGTGAAGAATTGGAAGCTATTTTTCCCCCTCTCTCGATTACAGCCAAAACCTGGGGGTTCTCTTTCTAGGCTGCTGGATTGCGCATGAGACAAAATCTGTTTTCTGAGTTTGCCTTTTTTGCCAAAGGGTGTGTTTTGGGATGTGACTATATTGGAACAGCTCATTAGCGATAGTTACTGTATCCATTATTCTGTTCGGTTTTCCACTAGAGTTATGTTATTCTAAATTCCTCTTTCTCTGGTTATATTTTAACGATAGTGTTTAAATAACTTCTTTTGCTTAACGTTGACCAATCGAATTGCATCAGGAACACGGCACGTTACATTAGCCTTAAAAATAAGAAAAAGTTAGGGTCTAGACTACCTTCTTAAAATATTTTGAGGAGCTCTGGTCTGGTCTGGTCCATAACAAGTGCATCTTGTAGATGGTAACATACTGCTGCTACTGAGCGTCAGTGATGGACAGAGTGGATGTGGTGCCAACCAAGTGGGGGCTGCTTTGTCCCTGATGGTGCCGAGGTTCTCGAGTGTTGTTGGAGCTGCCAGGGCAAGGGGGGAGTATTCCCTCACACTCCTGACTTGTGCCTTGTCGATGGTGGGACAGGCTTTGGAGGTGGGGTGCAGTCAGGAGGTGAGGTACTCGCTGCAGGATTCCCAGCCTCTGACCTGCTGTTGTCACCACAGTATTTATATGGCTGGTTTTCTGGTCAATGATAACCCCTAGGAGATTGATAGTGGTGGTGGGGGCGCGGGGGGGGCGGTGGGATTCAGCGATGGTGAGGTAGGGGAATTCCTGTTGGAGATAATCACTTACGTGGCATTTCTGTGCTGCGAGTGTAACTTGTCGATTGTCAGCCTGAGCCTGGATATTGTCCACGATACGCTGTGTGTGGACGTGGCTGCAGATAACTCCTGACTTATTTCTGCTGCCACGGTGGCTCAGTGGTTAGCACCACTGCCCCACAGTACCAGGGGCCCGGGTTCAATCCCACCCTCGGGCGACTGTCTGTTTGCACATTCTGCGCCCCCCGTGTCTGCGTGGGTTTCCTCCAGGTGCTCCGGTTTCCACCCACAGTCCAAAGATGTGCGGGTTAGGGTGGATTGGCTGTGTTAAATTGTCCCAAGGTGCCCAGGGATGTGCGGGTTAGGGTGGATTGGCCATGCTAAATTGGCCTGAGGTGCCCAGGGATGTGCAGGTTAGGGTGGATTGGCCGTGCTAAATTGCCCTATAGTGTCCAGGGATGTGCAGGTTAGGGTGGATTGGCCATGCTAAATTGGCCTGAGGTGTCCAGGGATGTGCAGGTTAGGGTGGATAAAGCCTAGGTAAATGTGGGGCTACGGGTTAGGGTGGGATGCTCTTCAGAGGGTTGGCACAGACTTGATGGACCCAATGGCCTGCTTCCCGCACTGTAGGGATTCTTGTCGATGGTGGGACAGGCTTTGACAGCGGGGAGGAGTCAGAAGGTGAGGTACTCGCTGCAGGATTCCCAGCCTCTGACCCTAAAGGGCATCCTTTATCCACTTCACATCATCCCAAGACCCTCTCCATTGCAGCCCAACAACGTTTCCCTCTATTGATATTTCCCCCGGGTGCGTCTATCCAGTTTTCCCTGACGGTTTATGGTTGTTGGAGTTACCGAGTTGCAATGTCTGAACTGTGTTTTGCAGGAACATAGAGTCGGTTGGAATGACGATCCGGAAACCATGGCGTCCAGACTACATCATCAATCCAGACATGGTGTCTGAGAACATCGCTGTGAGGCCCAGTCTGCTCAACTGGCCTGTACCCCCCAGCAGGGCTTTACACTGAGGCACACCAGCAACACACATACACACACTCTCTCTCTCACACTGACACACACACACTCACAGACACACGCACTCATACACACACACATTCACACACACAGACGCACACTCATGCACACTCACATTCACACACACTCAAACTCATACTCACACACACACTCACTGATACACACACACTCTCTCATCCACACACACACTCACACACACATTCACTCATACACACTCACACACACACACACACACACATGTCCCCTCCACCCCAAGCGTGCTACACAGAGGTATAAAGTCTTGGGGGAGGGGATGGAGGGATGATGGGGATTTATTCTCATCACCAACCACCCCCACCCCCCACCTTCCCTCCTGAATTACACTTCAATGCAAGCTGCTCTTCAGCAGGAAGAGCCCTGCACTCTCCAGAGGTCAGAAATTACGCTAAATAAATGCAGTATTTTTCCACCCAATCCCAGGTGGTTTGAGTCACGTTGAAAAAAACTGAGCCCCCTGTGTGGTTTAATGGGATTTACACCTAAATGTTTGCTTGGCCGTGCAGGAGATTACCTGTGATGGTCAAGAGGAAAAAAACAGCCGCAGTGGTGGGCAAGTGACTCTGTTGTGTGTGATGGCACTTTGGAATGTCAGGAGGCAAAGGAAGGACTGTGCATGGTGCAGTGTGAGGGTCAATCATGGAATGGGTGCGGGTGGGGTGGTATGGGAGTGTGCGGAAGAAACTTTAGAGACTTTTAGGCAACTCTTGGATAGGCACATGGATAATAGTATAATGCAGGGTATGCAGGGTAGTTTGATCTTAGTCGGATAATAGGTTGGCACAACATCGTGGGCAGAAGGGCCTGTAGTATGCTGTACTGTTCTATGTAAAGCCATGAGAGGGGTGTGCAGGTGCATGAGGAGGTTTGAGAAGCAATAGTGGAGCACTGGGTAGTTCTGAGGGGGAGATATTCCTGAGGATATTGTGATGTGGGAGTGAGGCGATGAGAGGGAATTCGGAGAGATAAGTGGAGACGTGTGAGGTGTTGTCAGAGAGAGAGTGGTGGAGTGGGGACAGTGAGGGGGAGAGTGTGGGACGTGAGGGGGAGAGTGAAGGGGTGTGGGGGGTTTAAGGGAGAGTGAGGGGATGAGCGTGACGGTGTGGGGGAGAGTGAGTGAGTGTGGGAGAGAGTGAGTAGGTTTGATGGTGTGGCGGGGTAAGGGAAAGTGAGGGGGAGAGTAAGGCAGAGAGTATGGGGGAGATTAAGGGAGTGTGAGGGAGAGTGGGATATGAGGGAGAGAGTGGGGGGTACAGTGGACTGAGTAAAGCTTGCTCTCCACCATTATCCCCTATTCCAGTCCACCCAAACCCAATCCCATATTTAACCAACATAGATTCAGTGGGAGCATTACTCTGTATCTAACCCCGTGCTGGCTCTGTCCTGGGAGTTTGATGGAGGGCACAGTGTAGAGAGAGCTTTAATCTGTATGTAACCCTGTGCTGTCCCTGATTTGGGAATGTTTCGATGGGGGACAGTGTAGAGGAAGCTTTACTCTGTATCTAAGAGTTAGGGCAGAGTAGGATTTGGGGGTGTTTGGGAGAGTGAGTGCGGGAGATTGCAGGGTGTCGGGGGGAGAGTGAGGGCAGTAAGGGAAAGTGGGGGAAGACTGGGGGAGAATGGGGGAGAGTGAGGAGGTGGGGAGATTGAGGGTGTGGGGGGAGAGTGAGGCAGGAAGTGAGGGGGATACTGTTAGGGGAGTGGGAGATTGAGGAGTGTGGGGGAGATTGAAGGAAGTGCTGGAGGGTGTGGGGGAGACTGAGGGGTGTGTGGGAGATTGAGGGGTATGGGGGAGAGTGAGGGGGAGAGTGCAGGGTGTCGGGGGGAGCGTGAGGGGTGTGGGGGAGAGTGAGTGGAGGTGGGGAGCGAGGGGGAGAATAACAGGCGTGGGGGAGAGTGAGAAGAAGAGTGAGGGGGAGAGTGGGAGAGTGAGGGGTGTGGCAGAGTGAGTGGGGGAGTGGGGAGTGAGGGGTGTGGCGGATGAGGGAGAGAGAGTGGGAGAGTGAGGGGGAGAGCGTGGGAGAGTGAAGGGTGTGGGGGAGAGAGTGGGGGAGTGAGGGATGTGGCAGATGAGAGGGAGACAGTGGGATAGTGATGGTGAGAGAGTGGGAGAGTGAGGGGTTGGGGGAGAGTGAGGAGGAGAGTGAGGGCTGTGGGGGAGATTGAGTGGGAGAGTGAGGGGGAGGGTGAAGGGAGGGGAGTAAGGCTGAGAGAGTGGGAGGTTGAGGGGTGTGGGGGGAGAGTGAGGGGGAGGGTGAAGGGAGGGGAGTAAGGCTGAGAGAGTGGGAGGTTGAGGGGTGTGGGGGGAGAGTGGGGAAGAGTGAGTGGGACAGTGAGGAGTGTGGGGGAAGAGTGAGGTGTGTGAGGGTATGTGGTGGGTGTCAAAGAGTCGGGGGGGGAAGGTGATGCTGCCACTATAACAGGGTCCGGCCCTCCCTGTACATACCGACTGGCAGGTGTTATACCTGCAGTGAGGTGCGACACAGGGGTAACCAAACACACACACACATTCACACACGGTTTTATTGATTCCAGCAATGAGATAACAGCATAATATATTACAGACATACTGAGATCGGAGCCCATGTCCTGGGAGGACAATTCCCCCCTGGCGAAGTGACCAATGTAATTAGTATGGATCCACTTCCTTTGCTCTCTCATTCACCATCCTCTGGATCCTTTCAGGCAGACTCGCATCTGTGTAATAAGCTGCCAGACAGACAGGGCACACACGATCAGACCATTATCCCCTATTCCAGTCCACACAAACCCAATCCCATATTTAACCAACATAGATTCAGTGGGAGCGTTACTCTGTATCTAACCCCGTGCTGGCCCTGTCCTGGGAGTTTGATGGAGGGCACAGTGTAGAGAGAGCTTTATTCTGTATCTAACCCTGTCTGTCCCTGATTTGGGAGTGTTTTGATGGGGGACAGTGTAGAGGAAGCTTTACTCTGTACCTAACCCCGTGCTGTCCCTGTCCTGGGAGTGTTTGATGGGGGACAGTGTAATGAGAGCTATACTCTGTATCTAACCCTGTGCTGTCCTTGTCCTGGGAGTGTTTGATGGGGGGACAGTGTAGTGAGAGCTATACTCTGTATCTAACCCCGTGCTGTCCCTGTCCTGGGAGTGTTTGATGGGGGGACAGTGTAGTGAGAGCTATACTCTGTATCTAACCCTGTGCTGTCCCTGTCCTGGGAGTGTTTGATGGGGGGACAGTGTAGCAGGAGATTTACTCTGTATCTAACCCCGTGTTGTCCCTGTTTTGGGAGGGTCTGATGGGGAGGACAGTATCAAGGAATCTTTACCCTGTACCTGACCCCGTGCTGACTGCTACAACAGATGAAGACAGTTTCCCTCAGTTTAAACTTGTGCCAGTGTAAAACAGACACTGGGAATTAAAACTCACTCGAGGCAAATTCTCGAATGTTGTCCGGTCGCTCCAGGAGTACGGATCTGGAGAGGAAAAGATGCAAAGCATTCAGTCTCCACTGACCTTCAGTAAATTTGCTTCACATGCAGGCACCATGCCACATGCGAGAAAAACAACACGATTTCATCGAGGAATTATAGCAGCCTTTATAAAAACTGAGGATAAAATTACAGCTTAGGAGGCTATTAATGCCTACTATCACTCCCACTGTACTTTGTAACCGCTTAGGAGAGCTGTTATTTGAGAACTGTTTTCAGCTTTAATCACAATGAGGTGCTGTTAGACATAATTTGCAACCATTACAGCTTTGAGGTGAACATAGCAACATCAGAACCAGAGGAGACCGTTCCACTCCTTAAATTCTGCTCTGCCATTCAACGTGATGATCTGTGACTTAACACTATCCAGGTACCTCCTTTGCCCCATATGTACAGCACGGAAACAGACCCTTCGGCCCAACTTGTCCGTGCCGACCAGATATCTGAAATTAATCTAGTCCCATTTGCCAGCATTCGGCCTATATTCCTCTAAGCCCCAATAAAAACAGAAACTGTTGGAGAAGCTCAGCAGGTCTGGCATCATCTGTGGATAGAAATCAGAGTTAGCGTTTCAGTTCAAGTGACCCTTCCCCGTATCCCTCCAAACTCTTCCTATTCATATACCCATCTGGAAGCCTTTTAAATGTTGTAATTGTACCAGCCTCCACCACTTCCTCTGGCAGCTCATTCCATACACGCTCCACCTTCTATGTGAAAAAGTTGTCCCTCATGTCCTTTTTAAATCTTTCCCCCTCTCACTTTAAACCCATGCCCGTCTAGTTTTGGACTCCTCTACCCCGGGGAAAAGACCTTGGCTATTCACCCGCTCCATGCCCCTCATGATTTTGTAAACCTCTATAAAGTCACCCCTCAGCCTCCAACACTCCAGGGAAAATAGCCCCAGCCTATTCAGCCTCTTCCTATTGCTCAAACCCTCCAACCCTGGCAACATCCTTGCAAACTCTCAAGATTTTTCTTTCTGTTCTTCCAGGAGAAGTGGACATTGTCCTCTGAACTGTGTGGCTTGCTCGGACCACTTAAGAGGGACAGACGGCCCTGGGGTCTGGAGTTGTGTGCGGGCCCAGAATGGGTAAAGAGATGGTAGATTTCCGTTCCCCGTCAGAGAACTAGGTAGATTTTTTTTAAAACAACAAGCTTTTGTCACAGTCACCACCATCGAGTCTCGCTTTTGTGTTCCAGACTGAATTCAAATTCCAACAGATTGAGCACCCATTGTCGCTTACAGAGGGGAAGTCCCAGCTCTCCACTCCGAAACCAAACAATATCGACAACGATACAATAAAACAAGGAAGTGCGGATGCCGGAAATCTGAAACTAAAAACAGAAGTTGCTGGAGAAACTCAGCAGGTCTGGCAACATCTGTGGAGAGAAACAAGAGTTGCAAGTCTTCTGAACATTGAAGACGGATCTCTGGGCCTGAAATGTTAACTCTGCTTTCTCTCCACAGATGCTGCCAGACCCACTGAATGTTTACAAGACACTGCTTCAGAGGTTGACATTTCTTTCCCGAGGTATAGAGTCTAGAGCTGTTCACAGTGACCCTGGGTGTGGTCCAATGAGGTCTCTGTATCACACACGCATGACATCAGCTCCCCTCGTTTCTCTATTATTCTAGCTATAAAGGCCAGCATGTGACATTTCCCTGGAGCGCCGGAGGCTGAGGGGTAACCTTATAGAGGTTTACAAAATCATGAATAGGGTGAATAAGCAAGGTCTGTTCCCCAAGGGTGGGGGAGTTCAGAACTCGGGGGCATGTTTTTAAGGTGAGAGGAAAAAGATTTATGGAGAGCGGGCAACTTTTTTTTTTACACAGAGAGTGGTTTGTGTGTGGAATAAACTGCCAGAGAAAGTGGTGAATGTGGGTACAGTTACAATGTTTTAAAGACATTTGGATAAGATCATGAATAGCAAAGGTTTGGAGGGATATGGGCCAAGCACAGGCAGGTGGGACTAGTTTAATTTGGGAATACGGTGGGCATGGACTGGTTGGTCTGATTCCATGCTGTACAACTCTTCGAGTATTTTCTATGCCTGCTCATGACTTTCTAACTGTCCAGCTGATTCTCCTGAGCCTCCCTAAGCCTTCACTGGTTCAACATCTCTGCCATTTACAAAGGACCCTGTTCAATCTCTTTGAGGTCCAAAGTGGACGACCGCATATTTATCTCCATCAAAAACCGTTTCACAAGATTTTGCCCCATTCACTTTTATCTTTGTTTGGGTAACGTGGGCATCACTGGCTGGGTCAGCATTGATTGTCCTTCTCTAACTGTCCCGTGACAAGGTGGTGCTGAGCTGCCTTCTTGAACTGCTGCAGTTTCATGTGGTGTAGGCAGACCCACAATGCTGTTGGGGAGGGAGTTTCAGGATTTTGACTGAGGAAACGAGCGATATAGTTCCAACTCTGGATGGTAAATGGCTTGGCTTAGGGTTAGGTGGAGCTGCTCCCATACATCTGCTGCCCTTGTCCCTCTAGATGGTAAGTTCTTGGGTCTGGAAGGTACTGTCTAAGGAGCCTTAGTGAATTTTTCTAGTATCTCTTGTAGATGGTACACACTATAATGACAGAGCCCTTTGTAGCCACTGTACTGATATGGCTGGACCAGCTCAGTTTCTGGTAACTGCTAGGATGCTGATAGTGGGGATCCAGTGATGATAATGCCACTGAACATCAAGGAACGATGGTTAGATTGTCTCTTGTTGGAGTTGGTTATTGTCTGGCACTTGTGTGGCGAGAATGTTAACTGCAGTTTGTCAACCCAAGCCAGAATATTGTCCAGATCATGCTGCCTCAGCAGAGATGGGGAGAAATTACTTCACTCAAAGGATGGTGAATCTGTGGAATTTACTAACCCTGAGTTCGGTGGGTGCCAGGTCATTGAGTAAATTTAAGGAGGAGGTAGAGAGACTTTTCATTAGTAACAAGTTGAAAGTTTACGGAGAGTGGGCAGGAAAGTAGAATTAAGGCCATGATTGTATTAAATGGTGAAACAGGCTCAAAGAGTTACTCCTGTTCCTCGTTCTTACATTCATTTGGACATGAACTGCTTCAGTATCTGTGGAGCGGCAAATGGTGCTGAGCATTGTGCAACCATTGGCGAACATCCCCACCTCTGATGGAGGGAAGGTCATTGATGAAGCATGGTTGGGCCTAGGACAGCACCCTGAGAAACTGGAGGGCGCTTATGGCACAGTGGTAATGGCCCTACTTGGGAGCCAGGAGACCTGGGTTCGAATTCCACCTGTTTCAGAGGTCTATGATAACGTCTCTGAACAAGTTGACTAGAAAATATCTACACTGAGGAAGTCCTGGAGTGATGACTGACCTCAAGGAACATAAGGAACTTCTTTTGTGTCACGTATCCCCTGATCATCACTGACTCCAGTTGATGCCACACTTAGCCTCTCAATTTTGTACTTATCGATCAATGCTGCTTATTATTGTGCTGACTGCAGTCACAACTAATCACTCCTCAACCCCCCAGACCAAAATATACTGTAATGGTGTTGCATGAGATTACGTTTAAATTATACCACCTCCTCGTACCCACTGACACTCGCATTCTGCTGATGCCATCCAGGAACTGGCTAATCACAAACTGTGTCACTCACCTCATAAACTCTCTCAGCAGCATCTCCACCTCTGGATGGTTCCTCAAGTAATATTCATTGGCCAGTCGAGTGTTTATCTGCAAGAAAGTTTAAAAAAATACACAAACCAATGTAGTAACTGTGAGCCGCGTCACAGACATCATTCTGAAGCATTACTGACAGAACAAATCTACCTTGACCCTCCACTCCTGCACAGATGTGGTCATTGACAGAACCGTGTTTCTCAGTGCAATGAAACTGTTTAACACGTACTGCAGGTTACAATACAGCTTCCAACAGCATTGGCTTATAAAGCTGTCAGCTGGACCCCAGTGGTTGCTCCTTCGCCTCACAACCAGGAGGTTGTAAATTCAAATCACATTCTGGAGACATGAACACACAATCCAGGCTGACACTCTAGGTGTCAGCATTGAGCTTTGTGAAAGCTTCACTCTGTATCTAACCCCGTGCTGTCCCTGCCCTTGGAGCATTTGATGGGGACAGTGTAGAGGGAGCTTTGCTTTGTAGTTAATCCCATGTTGTCCCCGTCCTGGCAGTGTTTGATTGGGGGGACAATGTAGAAAGAGCTTTACTCTGTATCTAATCCCATGCTGTCCCTGTCCGGGGAGTGTTTGATGGGGGGACAGTGTAGAGGGAGTTTTATTCTGTATCTAAACCCGTGCCGCCCCTGTCCTGGGAGTGTTTGATGGGGGGGGACAGTGTAGAGAGAGCTTTACTCTGTATCTAGCACCATGCTGTCCCTGCACTGGGAGTGTTTGACAGGGGGACAGTCCAGAGGGAGTTTTACTCTGTATCTAAACCCATGCTGTCCCTGCGCTGGGAGTGTTTGACGAGGTGGACAGGGTAGAGGGAGCTTTACGCTGTATCTAACCCCATGCTGTCCCTGCCCTAGGAGTGTTTGATGGGGGGCACAGTGTAGAGGGAGCTTTACATTTGTTTAAAATAGGAGAGGAGTCCTTTCTTTGTGTCTGACACTGTGCTGTACCCTCCTTACAGCAAGGTGAAGTCTAAAACAACTGAATTAATTATTACGTTTCTGTTTGGAGAACACTCTGCACTTGCCCGAATGAGTGCAGATTCAACAACACGCAAGATGTCCGACACCAGCTGTGACAATGCAGCCCGATTACTCAGCACCCTATCCACCAGCTTCATGCAATAACTCACCAAGGCATGTTAGGCTGCATTTTCCAAACTCAATCTCTTTTGTTTATAAGGACAAGGGCAGCAGATGCATGAACACAAGCGTGCCTCTGAGCCACTCACCATCCTGACTAGGATAGAAAATAGCCGTTGCTTCACTGTCACTGGGTCAAAATCACAGGAACCCCATCCCTGGCAGCACTATTGACAACATACAGATGTGTAGCTTTCAAGAAAGAAGCTTGGCACCATCTTGGAGTACGATGTTGGTAAATGTGAGGTCATCCATTTTGGTAGGAATAATAGCAACATGGACTATTATTTAAATGGTAAAATATTATAGCACGCTGCTGTGCAGAGGGACCTGGGTGTCCTTGTGCATGAATCTCAAAAAGTTGGTTTGCAGGTGCAGCAGGTAATTAAGAAGAGAAATGGCATATTGTCCCTTATTGCCAGAGAGATGGAGTTTAAAAAATGGAGGTTATGTTGCAGCTGTACAAGGTGCTGGTGAGGCCACACCTGGAGTACTGTGTGCAGTTTTGGTCTCCTTACTTGAGAAAGGATGTACTGGCACTGGAGGGGGTGCAAAGGAGGTTCACTAGGTTGATTCCTGAGTTGAGACGTTTGGCTTATAAGGAGAGATTGAGCAGACGGGGACTGTACTCATTGGAATTTAGAAGATTGAGGGGGGATCTTATAGAAACATAGAAAATTATGAAGGGAATAGATAAGGTAGAAGCAGGGAGGTTGTTTCCACTGGCGGGTGAAGCTAGAACTTGGGGGCACAGCATCAAAATAAGGGACAGCAGATTTAGGACTGAGTTAAGGAGGAACATCTTCACCCAAAGGGTTGTGGAATCCCCTGCCCAATGAAGTAGTTGAGGCTACCTCGTTGAATGTTTTTAAGACAAAGATAGACAGGTTTTTGAACAGTAAAGGGATGAAGGGATATGGTGAGCAGGCAGGTAAATGGAGCTGAGTCCACGAAAAGATCAACCATGATCTTATCGAATGGCAGGGCAGGCTCGATGGGCCAAAGGGCCTACTCCTGCTCCTATTTCTTATGTTCTTTTCAAGGGGCTACTACGATGGGTGACAAATGCTGACCCAGCCAGTGATGCCCACACAAGGAAAGGAATAACCGGATTTCCACTACAGGGAACGGTCGGGTTGTCTTAAGCAGAGAGGATGGACAATCACTGGAGTTCAGAAAATAGGTGAATTAATTGAAAGATACAGCACCATGACGGATTTTGACAGGGTGGATGGATCCCCTTTTTGAGAGAATCTAGAACTAGGGTGGGGCAGGTTCACTGTTTCAAAATACCCACACGTTTAATACCGAACGCTTTTCTTGCAGAAAGGATTATGATTCTTTGGTATTCTCTCCCTGAAAGGGTGATGGAAGCAGAGGCTCTGAATGCATTTTTTTAAGAAAGACAGAGGTGGATAGATTCTTGAAGAGAAAAGAGGGATGAGGTGGGGGATGTTGGGAACACAGAGTATTTGGATCCACTGTGACATTATTGAATGGAGGAGCAGGATGGAGGGGCTGAATGGCCTACTAATTCATGTGTTTGCAAATCTTTGTTGATTTTAGCCTTTTTTAAGTGCTATTATGCACAGTTGAGTGATTTCCTCACCACTAAATCACAGTGGCTTCTTTTCCTTTCCACTAACCACCACCAGTAACTTCATTCGCTATTCTATTATTATTTTACAAATTTGAAAGTGATGTGACTAATTTTTCTGGAACCATTGGGAGGGGGAGAGACAGGACGTCTTAAAATGCATAATGGTAGATAAATCCTTGAGATCCGATCAAGTGTATCACAGGAAGCCCAGTAAGAAATTATGGGGCCCCTAGCAGATATATTTGTATCATTGACAGCCACGGGTGAAGTACTGGAAGACTAGAGGGTGGCAATTGTCGTGCCATTATTTAAGAAAGGCTGCAAGGAAAAGCCAGGGAACTATAGACCAGTGAGACTGACATCAGCAGTGGGTACGTTGTTGGAGGGGATTCTGAGAGACAGGATCCAAATGCATTTGGAGAGGCAAAGACTGATTAGGGTTAGTCAGCATGGCTTTGTGCACAGGGAATTGTGCCTCACTAACCTGATTGAGTTTTTGAACAGGAAACCAAGAAAACAGATGAAGACAGAGCGGTAGACATTGCCTACATGGAATTCAGCAAGGCCTTCGACAAAGTTCTGCATGTAGGCTGGTTAGTAAAATTAGATCATATGGGATCCAGGGAGAGATACCCAATTGGATACAAAATTGGCTTGACGGTAGGAGACAAAGAGTGGTGGTAGAGTGGAAGCCTGTGACTAGTGGTGTGTGCCATAAGGATCAGTGCTAGGTGCAGTATTGTTCATCATTTACATAAACGATTTGGATGAGAATGTTGGAGGCATGGTTAATAAGTTTGCAGATGACACCAAAACTAGTGGTGCAGCGGACAATGAAGGTCATTTAAGAGTACAACAGGATCTTGATCAACTGGGCCTGTGGGCCATGGAATGCCAGATGGAGTTTAATTTAAATAAATGCAAGGTGTTGCATTTTGGTAAGACAAACCATGGCAGGAAGAGCCTTACACAGTTAATGGTAGGGCCCTGGGGAGTGTTGTCAAACAAAGAGACCCAAGGGTACAGGTACAAAGTTCCTTGAAAGTGGCATTGTAGCAAGACAGGGTGGTGAAGAAGGTATCTGGGATGCATGCCTTTAGCAGTCAGAGCACTGAATACAGGAGTCGGGACGTTATGTTATGGCTGTACAAGATATTGGTGAGGCCACATTTGGAATACTGCGTACATGTTTGGTTGCCCTGATATAGGAAGGATGTTATTAAACTCGAAAGGGTGTAAAAAAGATATACAAGGATGTTACCGAAACTGGAAGGTTTGAGTTACAAGGAGAGGCTAGATAACATGGGACTTTTTTCCCTGCAGCATATGAGGCTGAGGGGTGACCTTATAGAGGTTTATAAAATCATGAGGGGCATGGATAGGGTGAATAGACAAGGTCATTTCCCCACAGTACGGAAGTGCAGGTACAGAGGGATTGGTTTAAGTTACGAGGGGAAAGATTTAAAAGGGACCTAAGGGGTAACTTTGTTCACGCAGAGGGTGGCGCGTGTATGGAATGAGCTGCCAAAGGAGGTGGTAATGACTGGTACAATTACAACATTTGAAAGGCATCTGGATGAGTATATGAATAAGAAGGGTTTAGAGGGAAATGGGCCAAACGCTGGCAAATGGGACGAGTTCAGTTTCGGAAACTTGGTCTGCATGGACAAGTTGGACTTGAAGGGTCTGTTTCCGGGCATTGACTGTCCCTTCTCCAATGGACCCCCTGAGGAGATGTCCCTGGACAGGAAAGTGAGGAGGGGGTGTCTTCCCTTTAAATGCAGTAATCCCGGCCCCTGCATGTTTATTGGTCGTCCCACGGACATCCTGCCCTCGGAGTGGTCATCCTCGCTACCAACCCCACCCTCACAAGGCTCTGAATGGCGGATCCCACTGTCGTTCAAATCTTCCAGCGCAGTGGCTGGTCTATCCCATTGTCACTCTATTCCGACACGTGCGCTAATTGGCCAATCGCTCTACCACGTCCACCGGCCCACGATCTGAGTGGTCCATACACCTGTCGCTCCTGCCAGTCACAGCACTGATTGGCCGATCGTCCTGTCAGCCACCACCCTCCCAACCACCGTCGCCATGGCGAAGGCACAGCGGCCCGTAGGGATTATCGGTTGTGGCCTTTCCTCAGAGCCCCAATCCCACAACACCGCCTATTTCGGCCGCGATGCCGAAATGTCAACCTTGAAATGATAGAGCCGCTGCTGCTGCTCGCTGTTGAGCGCTCCCAGGTCGTACGCCTCGGTCCCGTAAGGAGGAGGGACGCGAATGCGGGGGTCCGCCATCTTCCTTTCCCGGGACGGGGCCTTGGACGTTGCCTCGGAGACGACGCAGGCGCGATGTCCAGTTGCCGTCAGGCCGGCTCCAACGCAGGCGCAGTGTCGGACTTGCCGTCAAAGCGACGCACGAGCAGTGTCAGAGTCGCCCTCGGGCCGGCTGCGGCGCAGGCGCACTGCTGGGGTTGCCGTCGGGCTGGCTTCGGCGCAGGCGCAGTGGCGGGCTTGCCGACACGGCCACGCGGGGCAGTCGGCAAAGGGAGCTAGGCGGGATCCAATGGGCGAGCGGCTCCACGGTCCCACGTGACCTCTTGGTTACCGTCACCATGGAGACGGCCAGCCTCCCGCTTCCCAGTGGTGCCTCAGGGAATATGGCGGGTCAGTGCCAATCAAGGCCACATTTCTGTACATACTGGGAATAGGGCGGTCTGGGAGCTCATCAGAATCCAAATTAGAATGTTTTCATCATCCCCTCACTATGCAGGACCCTTTCCCGGGCTCCCATCGCACACCATGATTGGCCATCCTGTGCACAGCAAGATCCCACGCACCCCTCCCCTGGCCTCTGTAAAGACTTGGGTGTGTTTGGTTGGGAGCTCATCGTAAACCGAATTAGAACATTTTCATCATCCCTTCAGTATCCAGCATCCTTTCCCCGGCTCCCAGTACACATCATGATTGGTCAACCCGTGCACAGCAAGATCCCTCACACTGTTACTTACCTCCATCCCCCATGGCTTCTGTAAAGACCTGGGCGTGTTTGGTTGGAAGCTCATTGCAAACCGAATTAGAATATTTTCATCATCCCTTCACCATCCAGATTCCTCCCTAGGCTCGAATCGCATACCACAATCGGATATGGTTGGCCATTCTGTGCAGAGCAAGATCCCACACCCTGTAACTGGACCGCCACCGCCAACTACTACAAAGATTAGGGTATGTTTAGTTGGGAGCTCATCACAATTCAAATTAGAACATTTTCGTCATCTCCTCACTATCCAGAACCCTTTACCAGGCTCCCATCACACACCATAATTAGCCATTCTGTGCACAGCTAGATCCCACACACTAATTTTCTCCTACCCCTCTCCTGGCCCCTGTAAAGACCTGGGTGTGTTTGGTTGGGAGCTCATCACAAACTTAATTAGAATATCTTCATTAACCCTTCACCATCCAGACTCCTCCCCAGGTTCCCACCGGATACCATGATCGGATATGGTTGGCCATTCTGTGCAGAGCAAGATCCCACACCTAGTAACTGGACCGCCACTGCCAACCACTACAAAGACTGGTATGTTTGGTCGGGAGCTCATCACAATCAGAATTGAAACATTTTCATAGTCCCTTCACCACCTAGTCCCCCCCCAAGGCTCCCATTTAGAGACTGTGATCGACCACGGTTGGTCATTGTGTGCAGAGCACATACTGCACACTGCAACTCTGTAAAGACCGGGGCATGTTTGGTTGGGAGTTCATCACAATCAAAATTACAACATTTTGATGGCATCCTTTGCTATCCGGATCTTTTCCAGGGCTCTGATTACACACCATGATTGGCCATTCTGTGCATAGCAAGATCCCAAACACTTTACTGCCCCACCCCGGACTCTGTAAAGACCATGTAAAGGGTATGTTTGGTTGGGAGCTTATGGATTTTTAAAATCGTCCCTTCACCATCCTGTACCCTCCTGGTTTCCCATTTGATGCCACCATGATGAACCCATGACTGGCCATTTATACAGAGCAAGATCTGACACATGCCACAAACACCATAATGCTTCCTACCTCTGTAAAGACCAGGGTATGTTCAGTTGAGAACTCATGACAATTTAAGTTGGGTCTGACAAACTATGTTTGGCCAATGATTGATTGATTTGGATGGAAGAGGGTACAACCGGGGTGGGAGGGGTCTTTGATTATGTTGGATGCTTTCCCGGGGCAGCGGGAAGTATAGGTGGAGTCAGTGGGTGGAAGGCTGTTTTGCATGATGGACTGGGCTGTATTCGTGACTGTCTGTAGTTTCTCATGGTCTCGGGAAGACCAGTTACCATACCACGAAGAGATAGTAAGAACTGGAGTCAAAGATAACACAGTGTGGAGCTGGAGGAGCACAGCAGGCCAGGTAGCATCAGAGGAGCAGGAAAGCTGACGTTTCGGGTCAAGACCCTTCTTCAGAAATGGGGGAAGGGGAAGGCAGCTCTGAAATAAATAGAGAGAGGAGGGCTGGGGCTGGGGAAGGTAGCTGGAATGGTGATAGGTGAGTGCAAGTGAGGATTGGTCAGTGAGGTGGGAGGAGCGGATAGGTGGGGGAGAAGACGGACAGGACAAGGAGGTGGGGACTGGTCATGGGATGAGCCAGGGGTGGGGAGATTTTGAAGCTAGTAAAGTCCATATTGAGACCATTGGGCTGTAGGCTCCCAAGGTGGAATAGGAGGTGCTGCTCCTCCAGTTTCCAGGTAGTGTCATTGTGACACTGGAGGAGACCCAGGATGGACGTGTCATCCAGGGAGTGGGAGGGGGAGTTGAAGTGGTTCACGACTGGAAGGTGTCGTTTATCGTGAACTGAGCGTAGGTGCTCGACAAAGCGGTCTCTGAGACTCTGCTTGGTCTCACCGAGGTAGAGGAGGCCACATCGGGAGCAGCAATAGACCACATTAGCGGATGTGCAGGTGAACATCTGTCTGATGTAGAAAGTTTTTTTGGGTCCTAGGATGGAGGTGAGGGGGGAGGTGTAGGGGCAGGTGTAGCACTTCCTGTGGTTGCAGGGAAAGGTGCTAGAGGTGGTGGGGCTAGTGGGGAGTGTGGAGTGGACGAGGGAGTTGTGGACAGAGCATCCGTACGGAAAGCAGATAAGGGTGGGGAGGGAATATATCCTTTGTTGTGGTGTCAGATTGCAGGTGGCGGAGAATGATGCGTTGAATCCGGAGGTTATTGGGGTGATACGTGAGGACAAGGGGGATTCTGTCTTTGTTTGTGTTGCGGGGAGGGGGTGTGAGGGCAGAGGTGCGGGAAATGCGAGAGATGTGGTCGAGAGCGTTTTCAACCACCGAAGGGGGGAAGTTGTGGTCCTTGAAATACGAGGACATCTGGGATGTTTGGGAGTGGAACACCCCATCTTGGGAGCAGATGTGGCGGAGGCGGAGGAATTGGGAGTAGGGCATCGCATTCTTGCAGGAAGGTGGGTGAGAGGAGGTGTAGCCTAGGTAGCTGTGGGAGTCGGTGGGCTTGAAATAGATATCAGTTTTGAGGTGGTTACCAGAAATGGAGACAGAGAGGTCCAGGAAGGAGAGAGAGATATCAGAGATGGTCCAGGTGAACTTGAGATTGGGGTGAAAGGTGTTAGTAAAGTTGATGAACTGTTCAAGCTCCTCTTGGGAGCACGAGGCGACATTGATACAGTCATCGATTTAGTGGAGGAAGAGGTGGGAGATAGTACCAGTGTAGCTACGGAAGAGGGACTGTTCCACGTATCCTATGAAGAGGCAGGCATAGCTTAGGCCCATGTGGATCCCCATGGCCACCCCCTTTGTCTGTAGGAAGTGGGAGGAGTTGAAGGAGAAGTTGTTAAGGGTAAGGACGAGTTCAATTGAGCTGAGCTCAGTTACTGTACCCAGCTGTGATGCATCCAGATAGGATGCTTTCTATGGTGCATCTAAAAAAATTGGCAACTGTGATAGCAACTTTGTGCAAAGCAAGATCTCACACGCCGTGCCGGGATGTGCAGTTGTTGTTTGCACAGCTGATATAGCCACCTGGTCTGTTACCACCCATCCACCCTCCGTCCTTCTGATAGCGGTAGGAGACAGAGAGTGGTGGTGAAGGGTTGCCTTTTGACAGGAGGCCTGTGATGTTCCACAGGTATCGGTTCTGGGTCCTCTTTTGATTATCATATATATAAACGATTTGGATGAGAATACAGAAGGCATGGTTAGTAAGTTTGCAGTTGACACCAAAATTGGTGGCTTAGTGGACAGTGAAGAAGGTTATCTAAGATTACAAAGGATGGGTTAGTGGGCTGAAAAATGGTTGATGGAGTTCAATCTGGATAAATGCGAGGTGTTGCATTTAGGTACAACAAACAAGGGCAGGGCTTGTACGATAAATGGTAGGGCCTTGGGTAGTGTTGTAGAACATAGAGACCTAGGGGTTCAGGTACATAATTCTGAAAAGTCTGTGTCACATATCGACAGGATGGATAAGAAGGTGTTTGCCACACTTGCCTTCATTGCTCAGACCTTTGAGTTTAGGAGTTGGGACATTATGTTGAAGTTGTACAGGACATTGGTGAGGCCTCTTCTGGAGTACTGTGTCCAGTTCTGGTTGCCCAGTTTAGGAAGGATATTATTATGGAGAGGGTTCAGAAGAGATTTACCAGGATGTTGCTGGAAATGGAAGGTTTGCGTTATAAGGAGAGGCTGGATAGGCTGGGAGGTCTTACACTGGAGTGTAGGAGGTTGAGAGGTGATCTTATAGAGGTTTATAAAATAATGAGGGGGATAGATAGAGTTAATGGTACATGTCTTTTCCCTAGGATGGGGGATTTCAAGGCTGAGGGCACATTTTTAAGGTGAGGGGAGAGAGATTTTAAAAAGGCATGAGGGGCAAATTGTTTTACACAGAGAGTAGTTCACATGTGGAAGAGGTAGATGTGGGTATAATTACAATGTTTAAAAGACATTTGGATAAGTACACGAATAGGAAAGGTTTGGAGGAATATGATTCCTGAATATTGATCCTCGCTGTGTTTCAGTGTCACAGTGAATTGATTCCTGAATATTGATCCTTGCTGTGTCATGGTGAATTGATTCCTGATTGTTGATCATATTGATTTGTTCCCGTTAGAGATACTTAAAGTTTAATCCTGAAGATACAATGTTACAGGCACAGATACTGTAGTCACACAGGAAGTTTTACACATTCATAAACTGTAACTATAGAGGTAGTGTTACACACAATTTGCAGTCATTCCGACTCAGTATTACACTCAAACTGTAATCGTTCAGATACAGTCTTACACACACATGTACAGTCACCCAAAAGTACGCTTGTTTTCAGTATGATGACTAGTACAGTAGAACATAAGAAATAGGAGCAGGGTAGGCCATTTGGCCCCTCACACCATTCTATCAGAACACAGCTGAATTTCCCCAGGCCTCAACCCCCTTTCATAACAGCTCTTCACCAAACGCCCC